AATACCAGGCCGACCGTGACGGCAGTCAACGCAAGCGTCGAAACATCCATCCCCTAACAGAAATAAGATTAATATCGAAGAGGACACATGGTCCTCGTATCAGATATTAAGCTGATAAGAACAGATACTACACTTTGATCTTAGCCAAAAGGCCGAGAAGCGATAAAGTGTGAGAATCAGAGGAATTATTTTATAGGGAAGTGATGTATCTAGTCTCTAGGGGAAAACAAATAAACATTTGGGCACCTCAGTGGAAGCTCAATGGTTTTCCTTCATCACGAATGCCAAAGGACAGAAAGATCATCGAAGGGAATGAATCAGAATTATCAAATATTCACGGACTCCTAGACTATTGAACCCTCTTGGAGCGCCACGGAATATTTTTCATTACGCCTGACATCTATCGTCAAAAAAGAGAGAAATGAGTCCATCTTGTATATAAGTTAGATAAATTTCTTCATAACACTTGTATCGTAAGTTCCATGGGAAAGAGGCAATGATTGAATGGAACATCCATGTCCACATATGAGCATGTAATGTCTATGACTGTTTGTTAGAATGTAAGGATATGTTAGTATGAAATATTGAATTGCATTGCAAGCTGAATTAAGAATATTAGTCATATTTATGTATATTATGACTGATAATAATTGTAGCATTTAATTATTATTATTATTATTTTATGCAGTGTTTTGAATTCTAGGTTTGACTAAGATTAGGATATTAGTATATGTAGAATATATGTTTAATTTATATATATTTATAAATGTTGATAGCAATTGGATAACCACTCAGGCTGAGTCAAATTCATTTGGCATTACATTAAGTAATACACAAGCAATCATCAAAAGCGGATTAAGTCGAAAAGACTCAGGCCGCAAACTTTCATGCTCAGAATTTGCCTCTTCACCTCATCATCATGGTTGGGAAGACTTTCAATTTCTAATTGAGAAATCGATCAAGCATACTACAGAAATGATCCTGTGAAGTATAGTCTTAAAGTTTTTCTGAAAAATGACCTGTCTATATACTCATGGAATATACACCTTCCTTCAAAAAAATCTTTGAGAGCGAGAGGAGTGACATCTAACAGAAGTGAACAAAATTGTTTTGAGAGTTTCAAGATACAAAATGAAACAGAACCGAGTTCCTTCCGCACTATGATCCGTGATTTATTTTAAATTTAAATTTCCGTATCAAGTATGATGATCTAGCTCCAAAATAATTAAATAAAATATATTTAAAAAAAAAATACTATTATAATATTACATACTATTGCCATGAGTAGTATTATTATTATTATTATTATATTATATATTACTATTAGTAGTATTTATTATTGAAATAATTAATATAAGAGAAACCATACTCTTTTAATAAATCATGAAATCATAATTATATAACACTCTAGAATGAGATTTTTGAGAATATAGTTTGAAAAATGAATACATCTTCTGCTATTATATAGATACATTTAAAAATGTCTTTGTTCAAAAATGAGGATGATGGAGAAATTCTGGCTATGACTATTTATTAACCATTTTGAAGAGTTTGTCAATTAGTCATCTCTTTTTTCTACCTTTCTTCTTTCAAAAAGTCAAAGCATCTAAAATAAAAATGACAACAGCACTCGGTGTTCCCAGGCGGTCACCCATCCAAGTACTAACCGAGCTCAATGTTGCTTAACTTCAGTGATCGGACGAGAACTGGTGTTTTCAACATGATATGGCCGTTGCCGAGAGAAGAGTTCAAACAAACTATATTATTAAACTCAAATATATAATAACAATGACACGCTGGTAGGTACACCACCTTGTCCTATAAATAAATAAAGAAGTATTAGAAAATAAGAGACCCCATCATTAGACAAATGAATACTAATATTATTATGATTCTGAGCCTTTTTTACTAAATAGTTGACAAAACGAACATTTAATTTCGTATATATATATATATATAGAGAGAGAGAGAGAGAGAGAGAGAGAAATAAGAAGAATTGTGGGAGTTTATCATGAATTTGAATACTCTAGCTAGATTTTTGATTGATTTGTTGACATATATATTGGGCTTTTTGTGGGGAAGTGGGCCATTCCTGGAGGTACTGCAATACCAGGCCGACCCGTGACGGAGTCAACGCAAGCGTCGAAACATCCATCCCCTAACAGAAATAAGATTAATATCGAAGAGGACACATGGTCCTCGTATCAGATATTAAGCTGATAAGAACAGATACTACACTTTGATCTTAGCCAAAAGGCCGAGAAGCGATAAAGTGTGAGAATCAGAGGAATTATTTTATAGGGAAGTGATGTATCTAGTCTCTAGGGGAAAACAAATAAACATTTGGGCACCTCAGTGGAAGCTCAATGGTTTTCCTTCATCACGAATGCCAAAGGACAGAAAGATCATCGAAGGGAATGAATCAGAATTATCAAATATTCACGGACTCCTAGACTATTGAACCCTCTTGGAGCGCCACGGAATATTTTTCATTACGCCTGACATCTATCGTCAAAAAAGAGAGAAATGAGTCCATCTTGTATATAAGGTTAGATAAATTTCTTCATAACACTTGTATCGTAAGTTCCATGGGAAAGAGGCAATGATTGAATGGAACATCCATGTCCACATATGAGCATGTAATGTCTATGACTGTTTGTTAGAATGTAAGGATATGTTAGTATGAAATATTGAATTGCATTGCAAGCTGAATTAAGAATATTAGTCATATTTATGTATATTATGACTGATAATAATTGTAGCATTTAATTATTATTATTATATTTTATGCAGTGTTTTGAATTCTAGGTTTGACTAAGATTAGGATATTAGTTATATGTAGAATATATATGTTTAAATTTATATATATTTTATAAATGTTGATAGCAATTGGATAACCACTCAGGCTGAGTCAAATTCATTTGGCATTACATTAAGTAATACACAAGCAATCATCAAAAGCGGATTAAGTCGAAAAGACTCAGGCCGCAAACTTTCATGCTCAGAATTTGCCTCTTCACCTCATCATCATGGTTGGGAAGACTTTCATTTCTAATTGAGAAATCGATCAAGCATACTACAGAAATGATCCTGTGAAGTATAGTCTTAAAGTTTTTCTGAAAAAATGACCTGTCTATATACTCATGGAATATACACCTTCCTTCAAAAAATCTTTGAGAGCGAGAGGAGTGACATCTAACAGAAGTGAACAAAATTTGTTTTGAGAGTTTCAAGATACAAAAATGAAACAGAACCGAGTTCCTTCCGCACTATGATCCGTGATTTATTTTAAATTTAAATTTCCGTATCAAGTATGATGATCTAGCTCCAAAATAATTAATAAAATATATTTAAAAAAAAAATACTATTATAATATTACATACTATTGCCATGAGTTTATTATTATTATTATTATTATTATTATTATTTACTATTATTAGTATTATTTATTATTGAAATAATTAATATAAGAGAAACCATACTCTTTTAATAAATCATGAAATCATAATTATATAACACTCTAGAATGAGATTTTTGAGAATATAGTTTGAAAAATGAATACATCTTCTGCTATTATATAGATACATTTAAAAATGTCTTTGTTCAAAAATGAGGATGATGGAGAAATTCTGGCTATGACTATTTATTAACCATTTTGAAGAGTTTGTCAATTAGTCATCTCTTTTTTCTACCTTTCTTCTTTCAAAAAGTCAAAGCATCTAAAATAAAAATGACAACAGCACTCGGTGTTCCCAGGCGGTCACCCATCCAAGTACTAACCGAGCTCAATGTTGCTTAACTTCAGTGATCGGACGAGAACTGGTGTTTTCAACATGATATGGCCGTTGCCGAGAGAAGAGTTCAAACAAACTATATTATTAAACTCAAATATATAATAACAATGACACGCTGGTAGGTACACCACCTTGTCCTATAAATAAATAAAGAAGTATTAGAAAATAAGAGACCCATCATCATTAGACAAATGAATACTATATATTATTATGATTCTGAGCCTTTTTTACTAAATAGTTGACAAAACGAACATTTAATTTCGTATATATATATATAGAGAGAGAGAGAGAGAGAGAGAGAGAGAGAAATAAGAAGAATTGTGGGAGTTTATCATGAATTTGAATACTCTAGCTAGATTTTTGATTGATTTGTTGACATATATATTGGGCTTTTTGTGGGGAAGTGGGCCATTCCTGGAGGTACTGCAATACCAGGCCGACCCGTGACGGAGTCAACGCAAGCGTCGAAACATCCATCCCCTAACAGAAATAAGATTAATATCGAAGAGGACACATGGTCCTCGTATCAGATATTAAGCTGATAAGAACAGATACTACACTTTGATCTTAGCCAAAAGGCCGAGAAGCGATAAAGTGTGAGAATCAGAGGAATTATTTTATAGGGAAGTGATGTATCTAGTCTCTAGGGGAAAACAAATAAACATTTGGGCACCTCAGTGGAAGCTCAATGCACTTTCCTTCATCACGAATGCCAAAGGACAGAAAGATCATCGAAGGGAATGAATCAGAATTATCAAATATTCACGGACTCCTAGACTATTGAACCCTCTTGGAGCGCCACGGAATATTTTTCATTACGCCTGACATCTATCGTCAAAAAAGAGAGAAATGAGTCCATCTTGTATATAAGGTTAGATAAATTTCTTCATAACACTTGTATCGTAAGTTCCATGGGAAAGAGGCAATGATTGAATGGAACATCCATGTCCACATATGAGCATGTAATGTCTATGACTGTTTGTTAGAATGTAAGGATATGTTAGTATGAAATATTGAATTGCATTGCAAGCTGAATTAAGAATATTAGTCATATTTATGTATATTATGACTGATAATAATTGTAGCATTTAATTATTATTATTATTATTTTATGCAGTGTTTTGAATTCTAGGTTTGACTAAGATTAGGATATTAGTTATATGTAGAATATATATGTTTAAAATATATATTTTATAAATGTTGATAGCAATTGGATAACCACTCAGGCTGAGTCAAATTCATTTGGCATTACATTAAGTAATACACAAGCAATCATCAAAAGCGGATTAAGTCGAAAAGACTCAGGCCGCAAACTTTCATGCTCAGAATTTGCCTCTTCACCTCATCATCATGGTTGGGAAGACTTTCGATTTCTAATTGAGAAATCGATCAAGCATACTACAGAAATGATCCTGTGAAGTATAGTCTTAAAGTTTTTCTGAAAAAATGACCTGTCTATATACTCATGGAATATACACCTTCCTTCAAAAAAATCTTTGAGAGCGAGAGGAGTGACATCTAACAGAAGTGAACAAAATTGTTTTGAGAGTTTCAAGATACAAAAATGAAACAGAACCGAGTTCCTTCCGCACTATGATCCGTGATTTATTTTAAATTTAAATTTCCGTATCAAGTATGATGATCTAGCTCCAAAATAATTAAATAAAATATATTTTAAAAAAAATACTATTATAATATTACATACTATTGCCATGAGTATTATTATTATTATTATTATATTATTATTATTTACTATTATAGTATTATTTATTATTGAAATAATTAATATAAGAGAAACCATACTCTTTTAATAAATCATGAAATCATAATTATATAACACTCTAGAATGAGATTTTTGAGAATATAGTTTGAAAAATGAATACATCTTCTGCTATTATATAGATACATTTAAAAATGTCTTTGTTCAAAAATGAGGATGATGGAGAAATTCTGGCTATGACTATTTATTAACCATTTTGAAGAGTTTGTCAATTAGTCATCTCTTTTTTCTACCTTTCTTCTTTCAAAAAGTCAAAGCATCTAAAATAAAAATGACAACAGCACTCGGTGTTCCCAGGCGGTCACCCATCCAAGTACTAACCGAGCTCAATGTTGCTTAACTTCAGTGATCGGACGAGAACTGGTGTTTTCAACATGATATGGCCGTTGCCGAGAGAAGAGAGTTCAAACAAACTATATTATAAACTCAAATATATAATAACAATGACACGCTGGTAGGTACACCACCTTGTCCTATAAATAAATAAATAAGTATTAGAAAATAAGAGACCCCATCATTAGACAAATGAATACTATATATTATTATGATTCTGAGCCTTTTTTACTAAATAGTTGACAAAACGAACATTTAATTTCGTATATATATATATATATAGAGAGAGAGAGAGAGAGAGAGAGAGAGAGAAATAAGAAGAATTGTGGGAGTTTATCATGAATTTGAATACTCTAGCTAGATTTTTGATTGATTTGTTGACATATATATTGGGCTTTTTGTGGGGAAGTGGGCCATTCCTGGAGGTACTGCAATACCAGGCCGACCCGTGACGGAGTCAACGCAAGCGTCGAAACATCCATCCCCTAACAGAAATAAGATTAATATCGAAGAGGACACATGGTCCTCGTATCAGATATTAAGCTGATAAGAACAGATACTACACTTTGATCTTAGCCAAAAGGCCGAGAAGCGATAAAGTGTGAGAATCAGAGGAATTATTTTATAGGGAAGTGATGTATCTAGTCTCTAGGGGAAAACAAATAAACATTTGGGCACCTCAGTGGAAGCTCAATGCACTTTTTCCTTCATCACGAATGCCAAAGGACAGAAAGATCATCGAAGGGAATGAATCAGAATTATCAAATATTCACGGACTCCTAGACTATTGAACCCTCTTGGAGCGCCACGGAATATTTTTCATTAC